CATAGCACTCCGCAACCTCTGATTGTGCGAGTGGTTGCGAAAAACCCTTTTAGTGGCATCAAAACGCGCCGCGCTCTAAAACACGACGTTTGAAATTTATTCGCCACTTTCGCTTTCGTAGGAGCGCGCAGCAAAAAAGCCCCAAACACTTCTCTCGGTGCTTGTTTTAACGAGGTATGCATTACAGAAATGTCTTAAGGTTAAAAGCATGGCACTCGATAAGCCAATAATAAAAAATAATTGAGTAGACGATCAAATTATATGGTGAGCCAGCGCGCCCTCCATCATCATCTTGTGTGTGCGTATAATATTATCATCCGCTCTCCGCGGCTCTTCCCAACAACTACTTAAGCAAATAAAAAATTACGTGCATTAAAATGAGAACCGGTTGTTGGCTCGGCCGCCGCTGCCGCGCTCTTTCACGTGTATATTTTATTTTATCTCGTCAGCAAGCTCGCAGGCACTAAAACGTACGAATGGGCTGCTCTTGGAACGGAGACAGACACACCGCGCCACAAAACTTCCAACGGGTCCAGCCACAGCCTCTCGATTATGACGATTTTAGGCCTTAAGTAACTGATAATAATAACATCGGCAAGCACAGACTTTACTTTGAATTATTTTCAGCCTGAATATTTCAGCATCGCCAGGCCTTCATCTGAAATAACATAATTTTAAATTTTGATGCTGGTTTGTTCCTAATTAAAAGTTAGAGATCGTAAGCTAAAATTAGAATTTTCAATTTAATGTATTTGATTATATGCTTAAATGTTATAGTAATAAAATTATTATTCAAATTTAATTAACCATAACAAGCAAATAATAAACTATGATCTTTTTGCGGCTGCCTTTATTATCTTCTTAAATTAAAATCAAGAGAAGATGAAGATGAATGTCTGTGTCTGAGCACCACCTGAGCTGGAATTAATTAATTGCTAATCGAGGCGGTTCGGCCTGGCTGAGTAATTCGACCTGCTATTCAATCTGCATTTCTATTAGCTTATCTGTCATCACCAGAACCAGCCGAGCGGAGAGCAGGACCTCGGGGTCTGCTGGTTGTACCTTTTCCTTTCTTTCGGAGGCTGTGCGCACGGTGAGGGTCCAGCTCAGTCTCAAACAGAACAAATATACGCGCGGCTAATTGTGCAGGAATCAGAAATGCGGCATGGCTCGCTGAAATAAAAAAGGCTCGCGCTTGTTTGCAGAGGTCTCTTTTTTCCCGACACACAAAGGCGCGGAACGAGACGAGACCGGGATATTGAACTTTTTTGTGTCTCCGGCTGCGTACTTTTGTTCAATCGGCCGCGCTTTTAATCAAAGAAATACACAGGGCGGCAAAATTGGGCTCGATTTCTCTAGGGGCCTGATTTTTCTTTTTGCACTTTTGTCAAGATGAAAAATTTCCCAATAATTTTTGTCTCAGCCATTGTGTATATAAAAATTCTTTATGGGTTGGGCTGAATACACATATTTTTTTTGTTCAGATGCTTTTTGATTTATTTAAAACGATGATTACTCCTGGGTGGAGGGATGGGTCGAGAATGGAAAAAATCCATCTCTCACGCGCCAGCTAAAAGGTTTGTTTGTACAATTAGCTCGGAGCCTCCCGCTGCTGCTGCACCGATATCCCGGCCCTGCTCTCTCCGACCGACGTCTCTGCCAGAAACAGAGGTCCATGCATCATAAAAATTGAAAAATACCTGCTTCTGCCGCGCACAGTTTCAACTGTCAAAATAAGAAGCCAGTAGAGCTCTTTAAGACTTTTTCATTGGCCGTAAAACTCTGGCCATAAAATGATATGTTTCCCGCGCACACTTGCAGGCTCCCAGAGAGAAATACCAAATTCCTAAAGCAAATAAACTAACTCAGAAGTTTTCAAAAGCTCACAAATTGAATGGCCGCAGTATAGATTAGGAGACCACCCTGTTCAAACAAAAATGAAAAAAGCTGATTGATCTTTTGTATATACAATTCATGAAATTTTCTTTAAATCTTCCTTCACAAAAGATGATGTCATTAAATTATCCAAACTGGCAAAAAAAATTGAGCATAAAATTAATGGGAATAAAATTTTACCCAAAAACTGCTCCAAAAACCTACAAAACGAAACGTACCATAAAACAAATTATAACTCTTCCTTGTTTCGTTTCTTAATTTTCCATTGGCGAAAGAATAAATCATTTATGCGGTTGAACACTATTTCCTTGTGTTTGAATTTTTTGATCTAGACAAAGATCATATTTTTTTTTAATTAATTTTTTTTTTCGAAAAAGAGGTTTTATAAAATGTGTGCATTTATTGTTTTTCTTACAAAATACTAGCTATTTTGTGTTAGATATTTTTAGATATCCTTCTGTTGGAGGGAGAATATAAAATTATCTGTTGAATGGTTCCTTTGCTAAATTGGATCTTTCCCATTTTGGAATTCCTTGATTTATTATTTAATTCAATTTCATGGAGCCCGAGACAAATTGATTGGGGCCGGCGATAAAGAGTTTGATGGCCTGCGCGCCTCTCTTACCTGCCTCTAATTTGCCTTGGAACACGAGTTGAGAGAGCGCGCAGGATAGGAACGCCCATGTAATAACTGCCTTTAACAAAACCAACAACACAATCCCGATCATCATAATCATGTTCTGGCTGAAACATACACGCGAAGCCGCTCGCAGCCAAAAGCGCAACATTTCAATTCTCCATCATCGCGCGCGGCCACCGGCAGCAGTTTAGTTTAATGGTCCTGCCGACTGTTTTCAGCGCCACTTAATGATGCTCACCGCAGATTAATTAATGAGTTAATTGGCAGCTCGATAGGCCGCTTATCTTATCGCACACCAAAGCGCTGAAAGTGGCTACCGCTCAGCAGCAGATTTGCGCCCACTTGAAAATGGAAATTATTTCAGATTGATTGATTGACAAAGGGTCGCTCAATTTGTTTGATCCGTGGAAGGAGTTTTACTCATTCTGACCCCAAAGCCGCTCATCCAAGTCGAGCCGATTTTTTGATAACGAATAGATCAATAGTTGAGCTTATCTGTCATCCTATGATTGTTAAATTTCTTCTTCTATAGAGAATTTCATAAAGAAGTGATGATTCATAAAAAACAAAAATTAGCACGAGCTTGCATTTCACAACAGGCAAAGGCTGCACAAAACTATTGAAAATAAGCAAGCAAAAACCTCTTGAAGTTAACAGTAATTCAAATCAATGTTGAATAACAGCCAAAAGCTGTTATCGAAATATTATTTCCACATTTATTCTTTTTTTAATTGAGGATTAGAATTTAAAAAAATCATTTAGAATTAAATCTTAAAATGAAATTAATTCCACGATTTCGTATTGTGGAAAGTTGAATTAATTTGGTGAAATTATTTCAGAGATAAAATTCAGATGTATATTTAATTTACCCAGCATAGATTAATTAAATTTATTTATGCTTTTAATGATTGCAGAAAATCACTGTTTTTTATAGCAAAATTTTTCGCTGGCCGTCTTTGCGATTCAGCGTGGCGACTAAAATGAGGCAATTTGCTCGTCTCTGGCGCAGAAAAATTGTAAAAATGCGAGCGTGGCATAAACAAAAAGCGGCGTGATTTGTGGAGCAAATGCCACATGAGAGAGGGAAAGAAGGCGCACGGAGGATTCCACCCCGGGGTGAAATAGCAACAGAGCACACCAACTTGCGCGCTGTGGCTTAATGGGATTTTTGCGCGAGCAGACAAAACTCGCTCTGCTCCATGGGCATTATACTCGCAGGGGTCACAAAATGTCGCACACTTATTGTTAGTGGTAGGCCTAAAAATTCTTCCAAGCAACTTCCCTTACAAAAATTCTATGAAAGAAATTTATGTTGTAATTTAAAAAGAAAATTCAATTAACATGTAGTTAAAAAAAAATGGTTTAAAATTTACAATGGAATGTATGTATATCCATGTATATCAAATATATCAATATTATTAAATTACCTCTATTAAAAGATATTGGAAATTATTTTAAATTTAATGAAGATGTCACTTCAAGTAGCATTTAAAAATAATTCAAGCAAATTCGGCAAAAAATTTTTTTTATGGATGCTGTTTTTAATTCTGAATCATTAAAGGAACAGTGATTTTTTTATTGATATTGTAATACATATAAAAAAGTCAATAAATTTCATCCAAAAATTAAAATATTTATCGTGGAATTTCTATCAATTTAATCAAGCGCTTTAATATTCCATCAAGGTTAATGGAACATATATTTTAAATTTTATGAAGATGTTTGAAATTAAAACTGTTCTATATTATTCCGAGTCGAGTTCATAGACAAATGAGTTTGGTGCTGCCCAGTTAAGTTTGGCACGCTCGGTTTAAATTATGCATGAACGCAAACGGCCGCGTTCGAAGTAATCGAGCCCTCTCGTCTCAATTTGGCCTTTTCGGCTGGAGTGTGTTGGTGCACGGCTGATAGACAGCATGGAACGAAAATAGAATCGAGGAGTGTTTTAGTTCAAAGTATCGCTCTCTTGCGCCCGAGCGTTGGCATTAAATATCTGGCGGTAACAGGCTGGCTGATTGATAGGCCGAGACACGCGTCTTCCTCTTCCTCCCTCTGCACGGCCTCCTTAACGTTCTTAATTCCGTCGAATGCACTTTTTTTGTCTCCGAAGGCAGCTTCTCATTTTTAATGAAAATCACTTTGAACCAAATTCCTTTTAAAATTGAAACGCGCGCCACTAAATACTTGAATTGAAGAGCTGAGAGTAAACGAGCTTATTTGCCCTCCACTTCACAGTTGGGATAAAAAAAAAGTACAGCTCACCTCAAGACAGAGAGCTTGAATGGAAATTTTTATTAAAAAGAGACGCCCTATTCTCTTCACCCAAGGAAAAAGTTAAATATTGAAAGGTCCTTTCCATAATCCCTGATCAACTTTGCATGGCTTAGAATTTTTACAATAAAAATTTGAGTTCAAAATGTGAATAAAACCGAGTTTTTAAGCAAAACAAAATTGATAAACTTACATAGAATGTTGAGCGTGGCTGATTGGCTGGTGAGCGAAAAGCCGGAAGTGTTGTTGGAGGCGATGCAAGTGAACTCGCCGGCGTCCCGTTCCCTGTCCACCCTGGTGATGTGCAGGTCGGGCCCTTTTTGGAACCGGCGCGTGGTGTTGGTCAAAGGGCGGTTATTTAGTTGCCAGTAGTAGGCGAGGCCGGCCTCGGCACTCGCCTTGCACCTCAGGGTCACAGGTCGACCAGACACCACTGAGGTCACTGGCTCCGGGTTGATTGAGAAGTAAAATCGGTCCTCCTGGCCAAGCACACATCCTGAAACAACAACATAATTAAATTTGATATAAAGAAATTTGATTAAATAATTGATTATACAGATTATACACACTGAATATGTAGTTTAATTTTATTTTAATTATAAGAACATTGTTTAATTTGTTTTATGGTAATAACTTCATAGAAAAGGCAATTATACCAATTTAATAATAATTTGAACATTAATTGTAAAATATGATTTAATTTAGATAAAAAAAGTTTCACTCTTGCTATTTTCTATTTTAGCAGCATTTATTAGCAAGCATGTTGGTTGACGCAGCAATATTGCTATCTCTCCCCCAACAAAGTAAAATAATTTTGGAGTTTATGCGTTTCGATTATGTTTGTCTGCGCTAGCTATGCGTTGCTGCCGCGACTGATTTAGGGTAATGGGTCTGCCAGGGGTGGCTCGGCGGCCAAACAGGGAGGATGCGAGTAACCAGCTCTAGCACCCCCCCTTCGGCAAACTTTCATCTGACTCACTCACGCCCTTTAGCCAGATTAGATCCATTTCATTATCGCAAGCTTTTGTTTTTCAGCGTGCGGAAATTAACATATATTATATATTCCTTCTCTGCCTTCAGAAGTCCATATTTTTAAGAAGAAAAAAAACAAAAGGCATAATTTATCAACCATATAATTATGTATTATACGTCTGCATTTCACTTTAAGTAATTGAATAATAAGAGTAAAAAATATAATTGCTGAAAGCATTGCAAATTGTAGCTTTTTGCCAATTGAAAATCTCAAGCGTCCCGCTATTAAAAACAGCTCCGCAGAGGATTATTATCCAGCAGCAGCACCGCACAATGAGCCCCTTAAAATGCTGTTATCTTAATTGCGAGTCATCTGAGAGAATATTCTGAATGCGAGCGGCGCGCATGATGCGAATGCAGATATTATTCTTTTATTTTTCTCTTCTTGTTAGCAGACAGGAAGAAATTTATCTTGTCCTCTGACAGACATCCGAACACATTTTGCGTCGTCTAACTTTTTCCTGCTTCATTGCCATGCACACCCAATTAGTTAACAGAAGCCCTCTCATTTGAGCTCACTATCAGGAGCAGCGCCATGAGGCGCACAAACCCTAATAATGGCTAATAACCGCAGCAATTCATCTTGACTACTGACTAGTTTCAAAAAACGTTTATTACAATAAAATAATGATAAAATTAATTAGCTAAAACAAATTTAAACGTCAAATAATGACGAGCAGAGTGATCAATGTAATAATAGTTTTGCTAAACATGTTAATTATTTACTGAAGTTCTTTAATAAATATGCGTGATAAAATTAAAAATTAGAGGTTTATTACTTTAATTAAACGGAAATATAAAATTAATAATTAAATATGATTTCATAAAACATTTGAATAAAATTTCATTGGAAACTTAGAAAAATAAAAATTGGCATTAATAACTTATTGCTGCATCATAAAAAATTCAGCAAAATATTCTGTCGTCTCATGCTTTTGGGATCAGAATGGACCAAACTCCAATTTGGGTGCGCAGGAGGACGCAGGCAGACACCTGCGACCGCCCCATCTCGAGTGGGAAATAATAGAAGCACACTGCAGCAAAAATACGCAAATTGCAAAGCTAGGCTGGCGGTTCCACCGAGTGCGGTTCGACTTTTGAGGGGCGCACTGCGGCACAGTCTACCCAACCTAGCTTACCGGCGCGGCCTCTCGCTTATTTTGCGTTTCCGCTCGCTGCGTGGCGCGTAATAATAAATTTGAGCGGCAGATCTCTTGCCCTCTCGCGTTGGAGGAGGAGGGGGTGTTTTTATTGTGATGTGACTCACTGTGCGAGAGATGGCCGGCAAGGGGTGCTTGTCTCACCCACCCCGACCACGCGCTCTCTTCTTCAGCACAAGTGCGGCGCTATGCCCTTCTCTCTTCTTGTACAAAACTAAATAATACAAAACTTGTTTGCCGCCCCCGCGCATTATGTTGTTAGCTGAGGGTTGGCGAAATTATTATTTCCACTGCTCGATGCATTCTGACGGAAATTCCATTTGTAGAGAGAGTTGCGAAAGAACGTTGCAACGCATAATTAGGGAGGATTTGCTTTGCAAATTCGCTCTCGTTTCCGCCAGGGAATTTAAGCTTTAATATACCATAATGGTAACCCTTCTCCAGATTGACCGAAAGCTCATTAAATTTAACTCGATCTTGGTGGTGTAAAAGCACTATCTAAAATATCGTATTTCGATTATTTGCTTTATTCAAACAAAATCGTTAATGTATATTCATATAGGATGATCGATTTCCTGAACAAAAAGCTTTATACGAAGCTTGGGAGAATTATCTTAAAAATTAATGTTTTACTTCGCAGCCCTAATATGCAAATTAGATTATTGAAACAATAACTTCAAAAAAATTTATATTTTTTTGTGCTCTGTGAATTGATTATATTAATTTTCATATAAAATTATTTTTCCCTTTTTAAATTTTGTAACTCAATAAGGTTGCTGGTGAATAATAAAAAATCTCCGTAAATTTTCCCCCTTATATTTCACACCTTGAAATCTTTTGATCGCGTCTTGCTTCACACCAAACGTTCTATCTCTCACTTTTTACCCCATTCACATGCAAAACAGAGAGAAAAGAAACGTCAAGAGGGCGAAATCGATGGGGTTAAAATAAAGAGCGTGTTGAAATATATCAGCGAAAAGTGAGGAAAAAGGGCGGGATGCGTTCGCTGAGTGGGTTATTGTGTAATGCCCAAGTGATAGCTTGTGCTGATGCCGGGGTGGTCCTTGTGTATTCAGACCCGGTGTCTTGGGGGCGCATCTTTCTCTCTTTGCTGGCGGAGTTCATTTAGTTTGCCGGAGACAAGGGACGAACGAAAACTACATGCGAAGGTATACATACAACACAGGGAGCGACGCTCACCCACATCCAAAGCATCTAGGTGAAGAAGATACATTAGCCGCGACGACGCACCAGAATCACAAGTAACCCCGGCGCCCAAAGTAACATAAAAAAGAGAGGAGCAAAGAAAAAGGCGGACGGGAGGAAAAGATACATGTGCAGAAATGCACTCGCCCAACGGGAGGGAATTTAATATTCAAAAAGAGCCCTACCAAATTATTTCCAACCCGAACACGTGGAAAAGTTTTCCTCTGCCACCCCGGCGTAGAGAAAAATCTAATTTAGAAGTCTCTGTGGTGGGCCGCGGGGAGGTTTCTAAATAGATTTCCGCACCCATTTTTACGTTTTGTATTTTTTTGACAGAATAATACAAGCTGAATCAATTCACGCAGCTTTCAGAGTAGCGAGCCGCAAAACCGAGTCGAATTCCAAGGCTTTCGGTACTTTCGGTGTTTACTTGAGAGGGATTTATGAGGGTTGATTTACGAGCCACCCCCTGTCAACAATGTGGAATTGGCGAAACGCGCGGCGCACCTTTTTGAAGAAGGAGAGGAAAGTCTTACACGTCTGGCGAGCATATGCGTTTCGATAAATAAAAAGGCATGTTCGGTCCGACAGGAAAAAAAGGTTCGCTCTCGTAAAGTATGGAAAAATGTTTGGGACTGTTCCGTGACCAATGTGTAAATTCACAAAAGAGGCGGCATAGAAGAAGGAGAAGGGTTTGGGGAAAAACTTTTAATTTAAATTAATGAATTTCCAGCCTTTGCGGAATGATATTTTTAATAATTCAACAATTCAACAAAATTCAAATTTTACTCCTATGGTTAAAGATTCCTAGTAAATTTTGTCTTTGTGAAAATTCTGGTTCAGAGTAAGTCGAGAGGTGTGAGCAACCGTGCACTACACATCTTCTTGATGAGAGCAAACTCGACTTGGGTCCCCTTTCGTACCAAGGGACGCTGTGAGACGAGGACGGCATCTCAACTCAGCGACCCTTCGGCGAAAATGACGAAAATCGATACCGACTCGCAGAAATGGGATGAAAAAATACAGAAAAAGGATTATTTTCCGATAACAGGAGAGGTGTTGGGCATTTTTCTTGTTATTATTAGATCGGTGTCATCAGGCGCGAAAGCAATCAAATAAATATCAGCAGCAGGAGATAATTGCGTTTGGGCAATAAAACGTGCCTTGGAGAAAGGGACATAAATACCAATAGTGCGCCAGTTCTGAAAAATAATGCCATGTTGTACGCACGTCACGCGTACACAATCAACTTATTCCCTATATTGGATCGAAGAGGTACCGCAACTTGTCATTTTTTTTTTTTTAGGAAAGAAATCTTCGACATAAAAAAGAACTGCTGAAATATTTACAAGTTGAAAGTAGAAGCACTTAAGAACTCTTTTATCTTTTTCTTAAAACTATAAAGCCTTAGACGCGCCAGAACTGGTTTTAAGCTGATCAAGAGAGAATAGGGTGGATTGAACGAGATGTGGTTAACTTGGCTCCCCCAGCTCTTGTATACAGCAGTGCAATATGAGCCCGCAAAAAAGTTCGCAACCCTTTAACACCGATGATCAAGCAACGCAGCAGCAGTCTGCCATATGCCGTTCTGAACTTTTTGCAAACAACGTTTCTTGAACTCGTAAATTTTTGTTTGTTTAAGGATTGCTTGTTTACATTTTTTATTACTGAATTCCAGTATTTAAGATTTTCCCTTTCAAAAGTCTTAAATAAATTATTTTATGAATTGCAATTGAAAAATTGAAGTGTTGATTTGACTGACCTGTGATGCATAGGACCAGAAAGACCAAAAGTGCGGTGATTAGTTTGGCCATGCTAAGAACATGTGGGAGCGCCGCCTCCGAAGAGATGAGAGTGAGTCTTGCCGGCGGGCCGCCAGAATGGTACTCGTGGGTATGACAAGACGAGCGGCGTGCCGGCTTCAGAAGCATGATGCTGCGCTCCGTCAGCCGCCAACCCCACCACCACAGACGCGCCATCCAGGGCAGCACGCTCGCACCACCTCTCGACAAAAACTAAAAACATTTTTCTCGGAAATTAAAAAGAATCCTCTCTGTATACATAATGCGCTGTGCAGGTTAAAAGCCCTGCACGGCTTATTGAATAATTATAATTAATATAACATGATATAAAAAAATTATTACTTTCAGAAAAACGGGTTTAATTTTAGCTTTGATAATAGGTCAAACTTTGTCTTTCCATATTTTACAATATTTTATTACCAGATTTTCATTAAATCATAATCAACAGCAGCAATTTTTAATTGCAACTCTATTAACTTAATACCTTATAAATTATTCTTGAAAATAATATTCAAAATAAATCTTACAAGCACACCAATTAGCTTGTGAGAAACTTCCTTCCGTAGAACTGAGCTTTCTTCTCGAACGCCGTGCTCTTGATTGGCGTGTTTTGTTTGTAGAAGGGGTTCATGGAGAACTGCAAAATTAATCAGTTTATTGTAATTGAAGGTCTTTCTTTTTTGATATTTTATAAATTTACCTTGATGTAAGTCTCGTACATCTCCATGAAGAAGTTCTTGATGCCGTCTTCGTTCTTGTTGTCGTGCACCACAAGAAATCGAATGTTGCTGGCGGTCACAAAGGCGGACACAAACCACTGGTTGAATTTGTCCACTGCTTTCAAGTACATGTTGCTTGTCCGCCACATATGTTCGTCAACTAAATCTAGAGCGGCATTGGCAATGAATTCAATCAAATGCCGATGGTCTTCTTTCTGTAAAACAAAAAATAATTAGAATGAATTCATGATTTATATTGTAAATTTTAAAGTAAGTTTTCACAGCACATTCATTGAAAAAAATTAATACACAAGTTCCTTCAAAACATTACAAAGAAACGTCAAGAGGAAAATCATGTAAAACAACATCGAAATGTTCATAAAAAGTGAACTCTTTTTTTATTAGAGGATCTTGGATCTTTCTCTTTGAAAGATATGTATTATAATATGTAATGGAGTAATCAATAAGTTGAAATAAATGGCAGGTGATGTTAATTTTAAACGAAGAACTGCAAAACCAACATCAATGCGTGTATTTTCCAAAAACAAACCTTTGGTTCTTTGGTTGTGGGCAAGAATTCCATTTCGAAAATTGGGCTGTCCGTGTGGCAGACGATGTAGAAATAGTACGAACCAGACATTTTGATGAACTTAAAGATGCGATAGATAAAGTTCAGGCCGAAATTTGATTTACATTTTCGGAGAAAACAAATAATAGCTAGCCCAAAACCTTAGAAATGAGAGCACTTGGGACTTGTGGTGATCGTTCTGTTATTTTGTTTTCTTTCGCCAGCTGGCCGAAGAAGAATGGTACGTTGTGGTTAACTTCACAGTACAAGAGGGGCGGGGCAGAGGGGCGTGGTTTACAGTGAGAGTTAGAGGCTCGGAAGTTGAACGCAAAACCTTAATTTCTGTCGTGCCAATTTTAAATCTTGGGAAATTTTGGACATGGTGCTCACAAAGGAGTATCGAATATGCATGCCGTTGACCGTCGAAGAGGTGAAAATTAAATGTTGATCTTAAATCCTTATTGCTAATCGTTTCTGTCAAAATATGTACATATAATGTTATCCGCATGTTATCATGATCTCTCGCAGAGGCGGAAGTAATTACAAATTTTGTATGAAATTCCCGGAAATCCCGTAGAAACAAATTATAATTACTCAAATCTACCCAACCAAAATATGTATGAAATTATTATTTGTACGAAATTAATTTTCAATTTAAAATTATTTTCTTCTTTCTCAGTACATACTTAACAGCTCCTTATAATCTTTCACGGTGTATATACGTAGTTGCTAGTAAATAGCTAATCGATTTTTATTTTTTTCGTCATGCGTTTTAGTACAAAGTCGGTCAGCTCTACATGATAGCAAGGCACAGCCTCGAGCAGTCTGAAAAAGGTGAAGGAGTCGAGGTTGTGGAAAATTCGCCTTGTGAAGATGAAGTGCACGGCAAGGGCCAGTACACTGAAAAGAGAATCCACCTCTCCAGGTTGAAAAATTATATCGAATTCAAAAAAGAAATTGTATTAATCTGTTCATATCTTTTTAGTAAACTGCCGTATTGGGTCCAGTCGATGATCCCTCGCTTATTTTACGTAACGGAGAAAGCGTGGAATTATTATCCTTACACCGAGACGGAATACACTTGTTCGTTCCTACCCAAGTTTAATATTTTTATAAAAACGAGATTTGAAGACAATGCTGGAACCTCTGAAAATGTATATTTTTACTCAAAATCAGTTGTATTAAAATTTTAATTATTTTTTTGCCAGTGTTTAGGAATTCCCGAGGAGGAACTGGCAAACCGAAATGTCGAGTTCATCGACATTGCATTTGATGAGGTTGTGCCGAGGCACTACAAGGAGGAAGAAGTGTGTTTTTATTTAAATAATCATAGAAGAAACATCACGATTGAATTGAAATGCTTAGGATCCAAAACTTTTTAAATCCAAGAAGACGGGCCGAGGTGTCTTGGTCGAGGGTTGGAAAGAAGACACGCAGCCCATCATGTGCTCATACAAACTAGTCAGAGCAAGCTTCGAAGTGTGGGGTCTGCAAACTAGAGTTGAAGATTGGATCCTAAAGGTGAAATCAGAAATAACCTTAAATTAATTTTAAAAATTACATTTTAATATCATTTTGTTTATTTACATAGTACATATTATTTTCCCAAAAATTGGGATCCATTGCTGAGCTCTTATTCAATTCGATTAGAGTTAAAAGTAATGAATTAAGAAAAAAGGGAATTTTTAAAAGTAAAAATAGTTCCCGAATGCAACACTCAGGGAAATGGAGGCTTCAAAACGAAGCTTTTTTCCTCCGCGCCAAGAAGAAGTGATTCAAAACATTATGGCCCAGTTGAAGAGCCTCATTGTTTCCAAAGCGCAGAATCTCTAGCAACCACATGAGCGGGCAGTAGAGCTGGTCAATTGCAAGATTTTGAACCCTCAATTTCCCTGAAAGGTGCATCCCCCAACCATTCTTTTACTTTTAAACTCCTTTTCTTCTTTCTATATCATTTCTTTAACTTTACTCAAATTACGAATATGATTTTGTATTTTAATAACTTATTGGCTGATTTTTCAACACAACAAAAAACTGCTATAAGACAGAAGTGAAGTCGAGGTATAGAGTGTAGGACAAATGGGACCAATTAATTTACCATGTACTTATCAAGATAATCACAAAATAATATTTTCATTCCCCAAGGGAGAACCAAATTGTTATTGTTAATTATAATTTTTTATTATTATTTGCGATTATTTGTATTGTTACATTTGCTTCCAAATATGGTTAGAGTGCTAGAAATTCCTAAAGTACATTATTCCCATCTATGTTTGTCAATTAATTACTTTTTGAAAATAAACTAAGCAAAAAGAGGGCCTGTCCGGGATTTGAACCCGGGACCTCCTGCACCCAAAGCAGGAATCATACCCCTAGACCAACAGGCCGCTTGTATTCCGACTGAACGCAAGCGCGATAACTTTTTACATTGCAGGCAATTCGTGATATTTTGCTGCTTGGTCATCGTCAAGCGTTTGCGTGGATGGACGAGTGGCATGGTATGACAATTGAGGACGTCCGAGAGTACGAGCAAAAAATACAAGAAGAGACAAACACCAAGGTATTAATGGCCGTTTAATCAAATCAGCTGGAAATTTTCATGACACGTATTGCAGGTTTTACAAGAGCTGGGCGTGGCGGCGGAGAACGCAGAAAAGGAAGAGGGGGACGGCGACGAAGAGAAAGAAGCAAAGGATGCTGAGGGTCAGCCCAATGCGCAAAAATCTTGGTTTTCCTGGTACTAAACAGCACTAAAACGGCCATAAATTATTTAATGCAATTGATGAAATAGTATTTAATAGGATAGTATAAATAACATAATATTGCATTGATCTTCTCTCATATTAAGACTGTCCAGCCACAATATTACTTGTGGCCCCTTCAAATGCACATTTTGGCCAGCATATTATTTAGACTAATTTATTTAAATTTTGAAGACTTTGCTTACAATTTTTGGGCGCCTTAATACTGTTGCGGTTGTGCGTATTTTTTATAGTTTATTATGTTGTGTTGCCAAATTTTTGTTACTTGTTGAGGAGCACACTGCATGAGTCAATTATGCAGTATAAAACCTGTTATAAAATAAATAAAATCTAACAAAAGAAAAAGAGCAACAAATTAGATTGTTAAATTATCAACAAAAACCATGTATTATAATTAATTTACCAATGATAAAGACAGCCATTAAAAATGAAGTTGTTACGAAAAAATTATATTTTAAACATCTCAAACAAATCCAATAAGAGCCAGAATTTTCTACTACGCAGCACCCCTGTAAAAGCAGAAGTAGGCAATTTGCCGCGCACCCTTGTCATGCCAGTTGCCTAACTCACTTACTGCTTGGCATGATCTTCACTAAAAACGGGGAATCCTTTAAGCTAGCAATTTTACTTTTTTACATTACAGAATGAGGAAATAGTCTTTATATAAATAATACACATCATTGAGAATTCCACTCAAGGCATCAATGAATTGATTAGGAAATAATGCTGGTGAAATGGATTTTTTATAATTGCACGCACGTGCTTTGCGGTCATAAATGTCATGAGACGTCAAGAGGAATACAAGTTTAATCAGAATTGGTTGACGGGAATTCAGTGAGGAAATTAATGAGTGGACTTTGGAATGTTTCTTCCTCCAGTCATTATTATTTGGGAAAACACAACACAATGTGGAGTGGTGTAACGATTACTGCACGCCTTAGGTCACGTGGACGCGCGTCAGAAATGAAGAGCCAAGATTGTGAGATCGAATAGTAGTAAAGTCACGTGCTGCAAAACACAGTCCGTGAGGGCGCAAATGATAAGTAGGGAGAGAGAAATTGCGCTTCATTCACTGGAGCTTATCGCACGTCGGCGATGCATCGCGTTTTTAATTATATGCACCCAGTGGCCTACGTGCCGGGGGCCAGTGTCTGTGGCGTCGGCGACGTCACGGCGGCGCCGGCCAATCAACGCCACGGCCTTCCCGCGGCCCCCACTGCCTATAAGTGGGCAACGAACGGCGCGCGCCGTATCATTCAGTGAGCACCCGTTGCTGAGAGAACACACACCTTAATCCTTACCCAAGTACCAAACTGTGCTACAATCATGGCCTTCATGATGCCCGTGGTGAAGAACGACTGGGACATTTACCGGTCCCAGCGCACCAACAACAACATGCGTCGCACCTCGGACAACAGCCGCAGCCGCAAAGCGTCCGAGTGCCGGAGTAGCGAGTGTCCGAGCCTGTCCACGTCGCCGGGCTCGACTGACTTCTTCAGCCCGGCTCACCGGTCGGCACCGATGGCCGTCCGGACGTCCAACTCGTCACGTGCCAGCCTCCAGTCGCCCAGCAAGGGCTCGTCGACGGCCTCCTCGTCGCCTCCGAAGAGCTCCGGCTCGCAGAGTTCGCTCAACAAATTCCACACGCGACTTGTGGACAAGCTGAAGAGGTCGTTCCGCTCAAGTTCGTCAGAAGCCGACTCGCGGTCCTCCTCTTGAGGTCCGCCGCCTCCGGCTACTTTCACGCCGCCCCCGCGCTCCCGCCCCATTGACATCCGGGCAGCCCGACGGCGGTCGTCGTCGGCCTCGTCGACGCCGCGCTCCCTGCAGTCGCAGACGGTGCCCGCCAGCTTTTAGACTGAGTTTTCGCAACAATACACACATTATACTATTTAAGTTGAACGGTGCCTCTTAAAAAAAGTGAGAAACGAAGAACACCAGACTGCTGCTGTGTGACGAGAAGGATGAAGAGAGTTTTGATAAGTCAGCGCGACATTCCACGCACCCCCGCCGCCGCTATTTAATCAAACTTGGCAATTTTTGGTATTTTTTAACTCTGACGATGAGGCAAGTACTCGATGTTTTATTTAATTGAGAACCAAAATTTGTGCCCGCAGCGGCGGCGGAAACGTCGCATTCTAAACACTTTTGCGCTTCATTTGAATATTATTATTAATTATTTCACGAGATCACAACTACTAATAATAAAATATTATCATCAGTGATAGTCTGACTGCTGTATCAAACGGAACAACAAACTGTAAACGCTAATCTAATTAGACTCGAGTCATTTCCTATTTGTAAGCAATTAATAATTTTTTTCATCTTTTCTGTATGTAATTTTTTTCTACGGAGAATGATTTTTTTATACGTTGGGAGAAACACATGATTATAAGTGGCTTCTTTTGTACACTTTCTCTGCCTGCTTTGTAGACGCTGAGATTTCAGTTCCGATTCGATAGACACGAAAGTTTATAGTAGCAGCTATTTTTAGTGAAAAGAAATTGATGATGAATTGGCTGTTTTCAAAAATCTGTGACGAAAAAAAAAAGAAATTGCTGTTAAATTTGTGAGAGAAAAAAATACGCCAAAAGCAGATGATTAATTCACAAACCCGCAATGTTGACTGATTAAAAATTGTTGTATTACGAAAGTTAACAAAAAATGAGAAACAATAAAATTGAGCAGGAATGCTTGTAAACAAATTACTCCTACTTTTTCAATCCAAACACTGAAACCCGTAACAAAAATAGAAAATGAGCAATACCAAAGAGAAAATGTTTATTTTTATCCTGAGAATAAGATCATTGAAAGTAATAGTCAATAAACAAGAAATAATAAAACAATAATAAACGCATGCCTTTGGAGTTGTTGCCCCTGAAGTGGGGCAACGCCCAAAAATAAAACCGCTTTGGAAAATAGCCTAGCAAAGAAAATAGTGGAGTAGCAAAGCGCTGAGAGGTAATTACTAACTGGCTTTTGGCGCCAGACAAATCGCAGCTGAAAAAGGCATGCAACAGCAGATTGCTTGCAATTTGACCGCGGCCGGAGAAGACGCGCCTCTCCGGAGCGGGCATGACCCGCTTTCAACTCTCAATGGAAATTTCCACTGCGCCTGGCGAGTTGACGCTGTGGCAGCGCAAACGAGCAGCCAGCCATACGAAAGTGCACACGTACTCCACTGCTCTGAAACACACCGCCGTGGCCGCGAATCGATAACGGTGTAACAAAGGGTGTGTTTTTATTTACAAATCACGTAATATACTTTTTTGTTTAGAAAAAAAATAAAAACTGAAAACAATAGTAAATTTGTATGCACACAATTATTACGGTAAAAATTATTAGAGAATATTATTCAATAACATAGGTTTTTTTCTGTTACATCTATTTTCATCATTTCGTAAAAAAAGCCTTCCAATCATTTATTCCACCCATGTCATCTGGCATTATTCTGGTGACCATGGAAGCTGTATGAATTAATAAGAGAAGATAAAAGGAAAATGGTCATAAAATTCCACTTTGAGCTGTTCTATTCCAGGCCAACTCTTTCATCATTTGAAATATTACGGCAGCCGTGAAGTACGTGGAGGACAAAAATTTCTATATAGGGCAAAGAGAATGTCATTTTTTTCCCTTTTCGCGCCTTTCTAGAATTTTCGCACACCTCATTCTTCCGCAATAGAAGAACGTCTTTCTTTATTCTTTGAACATCTCTTGTGTGAGTGTGAATACCGGAAAAGATTTCGTGATAAATGATTTGCAAAAAGCTCACTTTTAAAAACGAAAGCCGGCAATGGGCGTTTTGACGTGCGAGTTGGGGAAGCACTCTGTGCCTGCGCGATCTCCGTTGAAAAGTACGGAGCCCAACAAACGAATGTGCACAGGTGCCCTATCAAGGTGAACTGGACAACACGCGGCTATAATAAAACACGGCGCGCCTCCTGAGACTGACTCGACGAGGAAGCTTCATTGTATGTGCAGTGTGCCGTGCCATTTCTCTCTGTTTACATCCGCGGTCCCTATTTCCTTGTTCACCGCCTCTCAAATGAGCGAGTTGGACCAAGTAGGACAAAAGCGTGAGATGAGAACAAATAGGAAGAGATTGGCCAAGAAGACATTAAAGAGGCATCAAAAATTTTATTATTAAATATTAAAAATAATAATAATAATAATTGTAATCTTGTTTGTTGTAAGAAATATTAATGAATTTTGAACAGGCAAATCAAAATAAAACCAATTAAATGGTTTTATAACAATTGCATTAATTTTAGCAATAAAAATTTCATTTTTATTTATTATCTAATCAATGGATTCTCATTATTTTGAGCAAGTGGATGTGCTTTTAAGCATTTTCAATAACAAAAAACCAATTTATAAGATTTTTTTAGCCCATCCTGATCCTCCCAGTTATTGCAATACCCACCCACAAAATACAGAAGATGGTTAAAGAGGCCCCATCAAGGTCATCAGCACGCACCTGCAAAAGAAGCTGTGCTCTCACGCCAGGATTGAAATAGACCTTTTCTATTTCCGTCCGAGCAACATTTTGGTCAAGTTATAACAAAGTGCTCCAGTGGGATTAGCGTGAAAGAAAAGGTGGGTTTCCTCAACGAAAGTTCCACCAAGTTGTGTACAATTAGGTGTCGGAAAATGGTTTATTTTCGAACTGGTTAAATCATTGTTTGTCGTAATCCGGCACGTAATAAAGTTAGTGCGCTTTGCCAACTTTGCGGAACTGCAGGTGTAACCGGTTGGTGTCTCCGTCTGGGAAAAACTTATTTGCCGGGTTTAAAAATTCAACGTCCTCTGCGAATGCCGCAGCACAGATATCGAGAGTCTTTTCTTTAGAGGGGGCAACGTGTCTCTGTATAGGAAGTTTTCTCGGCGCCTTGTATAATTGAACAAGCAGCGCATTTGCGCTGAAGGTCTGTGACTGAGAGCGAAGTGTGATTGATGAGCTTTACGAGTGCGTTCAGCTGAATTTGAATGTGACGAGCGGAATGTGCCGATGATTTATACATGTTGTGCCAAGAAGGCCGGAAAATATATAGGAAGCGATTTATATTCTGATTTTATTCATATCTTTATAATCTACTCAAATTGTAAATAAATATATATGTATTTTTTTTAATTCATTTTAAAGAAAAGAAGGGTTGAGTAAGCTTTTAACCTTCAAACAAAGAATCGCGTCAATTGTGTATTATTTTTACTCTTTTTCAATTGCGACAGAAGTCGGAAAAGTTTGAAGTAAGAAACGTGACTCATAATTCTCCATTTTCACATAATGAAGCTGCACGTTCGCCAGTGCACATAAACTGTCACATTGATTTTCATTTATTTATTTATTTACAGAGCAAAGCTCAAGGCTCTTTTCAACACGTTGGCGGTGTTCTTGCACTCAACCACTAAACAAGAGTGCACGACGCGTTCGTCCCATTTGATGCGGTTTCGTTTCTAAAAAATTCATAATGCTTTGCATTCCAACAGATTCTTTGGAAACGAAACCCCATTGTGCTGCTGTGAAACTTGGCTCTGGCAGAATTAAAAGTCACGTGTTGGAAGCGTTGGTCTTGCATTTCTGGCAACTTTTCAACGGCAGTAAAATAAATTTTACGTTTGCAAGGGTCCCAAAGCCGTCGAAATCGGTGCTTATTTAATTGCTTCATTAATTTTAGTGGCGGCGGCGGACACAACTGCGGACACTTCGTTGGGGGTGAAGGTTCGCTTTAAGCTTTGGACGAGGGACTTTTGTCTTTTTTTTTTGCCTAATTTTAGCTCATAGACACCCTTGAAGAGAGAAGCTTAAAATTTTATTGAAAGAGCTATGAACACGCTAGAGGTGGCAGACACATTCCATTATGATTGCGATTGTTTGCTTACTTAGTTGTTTTATATTTTTTGACTTGATTCAAATCCATATAGATAAAATACTCTTAATATTATACTGTGCTGACGGCAGCTGATTGCAAAAATACCAACACTGCGTCACCAATGAAGCAGTATTCATATTTTATTAATATATATATTAATTAAATATCAATTATTATTGATATTAAGTTAACAATACAGGGTTAATTGAAAGTAAAGACTTTATATATTAATAATGCGTTCCTGAATGAGGTTTTCAGTAATGTTCTTGCTTTCGAAGAGGATGAATAATTTTTCTTGTAACATAGACGTTTTTAATTTCAACCAGAAAAATATGCAGTATTTATTCAATACTTAATTTCTATTGTATTTTACGGTATTTTATTTATTATTTTGAACTTAACGAAACTCGTTATGATAAGTTTCACATTAAAGGTGCAAAATTTTTACATGATCTATATTTCATTGTTAAATTTGTACATTGGGAACTTTTAAGGTTTTAAGTTTTTTAATGCATTTAGTAATAATGGCTAATTTTAAATCGTAGTTTCACAGATAAAAATATCTATGGTATCACCAGATTCATGATTCATTGAATTCTTACAAAGCACCAGTCAGTTTATAAACAGAGTTGACCTTTAACTTTTGCAGATTCTTTATAGTGAATAATGCGGTTAACGGTGCACTAGTCCTTCAGACGCGTGTCTTTGTCAAACGTGAAATAGTAACACGTGCAAAAACCTCGGTTTATTTCAGTCCCTGGCATTGGCATAGGGAAGCTCCCGCGTCCATCCGTATTTTTGCATGCCGCACAACCATCTCTGCGGCGACCTTCTCCTTTGTTTGCCTTTTGTCCCTCACAGAAATAAACTCGCGGGAAGCTCGCGATGGATTTGAGGGTCAAGCGCGAGGCATCTTCTGTATTTACGTGACCATCTCGTTTTGTTCTGCGAAAAAAGAAAAGAATTAGATTGCCCGAATTGCGCCACGATTCAATGCAAGGCTCAAATACAGTCTAGTGCGTCGCACGCCAACATCGCAATCTTTGTAATGAGGAGAAATGACTGGGCGGACAGACGAGATTTGCGTGCAGCTCGGAACGTTTTCTTGCCTCTGGCAATTTATGGAGATGAAAATCATTACATACGTACAAATAAAGAGACAGAATAATAATGAGACGCAAAAGAAGGAGGAAAAAATTAATATAGATTCACTTTCAACGCTGATTAAATGATGTGTTTAAAAATAAATATTACGTTGTTTATAGTTTTTCGTTTTAAAGTGTGACGTGGTAATAATTTGCATCCAATAGTGTAGGAGTGCACCTGCATTCCATGCGCTAATAGTGCATCAAAGCACTCACTTACAAGCAGCAGATAATTTATTAATCTGCTTGACACTATCCAGTTTTTTCCTTCTCATGATCAAGCTCAAACCGGATTTTGCATCTGGAATGTTCGAGGCTGTGGAGTACTTTAGACCGCAATGCATTTTTCAAACATTACGCTTATCTATTTATGCTCCCATTTCTCATTCAGTCATTACTTTATTTTTTATCCTATAAATACCCACCACATTATATTTTTATAAAATATTGTAATTTTATTCTCATTTTAAAGGTGATGACTTTTTTACAACGCGAAAAGAAAAGAAAAAGACACATTTGTGGCGCCTGCTGCGTAATGTAAAAAACGCGAGTCGCCATCAAAAGCAATTGCTGGCGTTAAAAGTATAAGTTCACTCACTTTTTGGCTTCTGCCCAGTGGGTGGTTTGACGCACGTCCAATTCAAAAGAAACCCAAAGCAACACGCTGCACCCCCGTGGATTTTCTATTTGCAC